CACACACACACACACACACACACACACACACACACACACACACACACACACTGTCGATGAAGTAATGTCTGTGGGGGGCCACAAGTTTTTTCTGGGGTGGGAGTTTGGGGATTTGACCACAATATCTCTGCGAGAAGGCTCAGAGATTGTTTGCTGTGGGTGTCATTCCCGCGGACTGCTCTTTCGGAGCACATGGAAGAATGGGGTAGCTTCTAAGGTGTTTTAATCAGTAGCAGTCCTGGTGCCGCGTAGAAATCTTGTGGAATTTGGCATAGTACTCGCAGTGGCCTCGCTGTAGTACTAGGACATCATCCGATTCTCCAGGTTGCGTGCGTGGAAGGGGGAGGTCGATGGCACTCTTGGTGTTGCATACAGGTCCTGCGGTGTATTTTTGATTTGTGGTCGCGTTGTAGGCCGGCGCAGAGGGCTCTATTTTTTCTTTAGACCATTGCAATGTTTGGTCGGTGCTTTTTTGTTTGTGGAGCCTTTTGTGTTATGCTGTTTTGTGGTTTTGTGGGCCGACGTGGAGGGCTCTCCAAGTTTTTTCGGACCTATGGTGGCTGGGGTCGGTGTTTTCTTGCTGGTGGAGTCCTCTGTCTTAGGTAAGTTGCTTCTTGCCCTCCACCCTTTTATGGATCAAATAAATATATGTATACTAGCTTAGCGCCCGTGGTGGGGGTGGTGCGGGCAGTGCCCGCACTAACAACAAAAATATGAAAAATCACACAAACTGCGCACACTGACTCAAATGGAACATCACACAAATTGCAGGGTCCACCGATTTCGTTTTGATCTTTTCAGTTGCAATGAACCTCACAAAATCCAACTCAAAATACAACATGCAATTTGAGAGCATTTAGATAGAGCCCACACAAGCTTGAGTTATGGCCGTGAACAGTGCCCATTCAAAGTTCCACTTAAAAACAATGATATACAATTGACAAAGTTCGGGACTTAGCGGTCTGAACCGCTGCAACTCGACTTCGGTAAGTGCCCGACTCTCCCCCTCTCCAATATGCTTCGTTCCTCTCTCTTTCTCTCTCTCTCTCACTATACTGCACTGTTCACCCTTGATGTTCTCCGCTACTGTTGGTCTCTTCCCTATGTCCTAGATCTACCCTGAATGCCTCCTGTGGTGTGCCTCTCCACAAACGGGCAGCTATGACCACCGAGCGTTGCGTCTCCCCTCTCCTGGCTATGGTGGTCTTTCGCAGCCAGGGGGCGTTGGTCTTCTTCTCCCTTCAACGCTATTCTTCGTCCAGGTCGCTAGTTCACACAAGCTCCGGCAGCGCTTCCACAAATTTGCGAAATGAACAACCGCCTCCTTTTGGCACTGTAGTCCGAGATATATAGTTGCAGTGGACTGTTTCGTGCCTGCTTCAATCGGTACTGGCCTCCTTCGGCCTCTGCCTTGCCAAATTGCTATTTTGGGAAAGTTCCCAACTTTCTTGTGAGGCTGCTGCAAAATTGTACTTTTGGGGACTTGACGTGCTCCTACAGGTACTGTACGGTACTGTAGACTACCGGCTTGTGATGCCTGATCCTACAGGCCCTAAGATTCTAATCGAAGGGGGCCTTGGACTGGTAGGACCCTGTAACCGGGAGTGGGAAAGCTTGCAGTGTGAATCCATTCACAGTAAAAATATATAATTAAAAAAAAAAATCATTTCGAACATGAAATAATCACCGCACGAATTCGGCACTTTTTCCTTTTTCGCCACTATGCCATGTGCCGGCCAACAGAAAAATACTGCATCTTCCGTGATTTTTTTAGCTCAGAAGAATGTAAGAAAAAATATGA